GAGAGAGAGAGAGATTTTTGCTTCCATTATTATCGTGCCCTCGATCCTTGTAAATTCACGTGTACGTGTTATACAGAATACGGTGTTAATTGTTGCATTGATTTACAATGCGATTGGAGACAAGTCTTTTAGACTTTTTTTTACTTCTCTCCTTCTTCTCCCCCGTGATTTATCGAAGGGGGGAGGGAAAGATTAATACGGAGCTATATAATATGAAATTGTGAAATTAGATCGCGTGCACTTGTAGAAGCATTGAACAGATGATTTTCTGCACGCCATTGAATCATCGGGGACTCAAAGGGCTCATGATAACGAGATAACATGTTGCGAAACGGAATCTATTAAATAATCCGTGTTGTGCGCCGAATATGCAATATTCAAAACGTGCTTCTTTTTGAGGGGAGGGGGAAATAACAACAAATTGTTAATATTTTATTTAATAGGTTGTAAAAGGGTCATTGAAAATTTTGGATAAAATTTATTCAAATTATTTAATTATTATTTGTTATTTTGATACACAAACAGTCTTGTGATTCATTATATGTATATATATATATATATGTTGTTATTATATGTTTGAAAGAAAAATTGTATATATACGAGATAACACGAAGATTAATTTTAAAAAAAAGGTATAATCTCGAACAAAGTTCGTTTTTGATATTTCAGCTCCCTCTTTCTGTTCTCGAGGATGATTCAGTAACCTATTTCCGCCAACAATACCGGTAACGTGATCGTGAAGTGGTAAGATAAAGCATTCAATGTTTATTTAAAGAAAAAATGCAACAATGGTATTCAACTATCATTTGAAACTTAATTCGTTTGCGATAATATATCAATCTGTGTATTAACATTCCTATGTAGATAATGCAAAGGTATTTTACATTGAATTACATAACGTTGTGAGTGAAAATAGTAAACGAGTGAATGAAAGTAGTGAACAAGTTGCAAAAAAACTGAAAATTATTATATGTTTATACTTTTAGTATTATAACAAATCGTTAGAAGTTGAAATTAGGAATAGAAATTTAAAATTATTGATTATCGTATTCTTATATCATTAGAAATTGATATAAGTCGTCTTATACTTTTGCCAAAATTCTTAATATGTTGTGGATTTTAAATAAATAAAAATATATCGATATTGTAATTATTATGCATTTAACAATTTTTACTAATTGAAAAAAATTATATGTTAAATTAAGAATTGTACTACTTTTTATTAGATACAAAATATGCATTAAAATTTAAAACAAATTAAAAATAATGGTATTAATAAAATATTGGAAATTATGACATTTAATATTATTTTATAATATTTTAAAATGTTCGTTCAAAAAATATACAGGTAGCTAACTTTACCATTATCGACATCTATGAGCCTGACTTTATTCGCTGAACTACAGTTAGTTACCATATGGGAAAAAGTGGCCATAAATTAGTTCAATTTTATTTGCTCTACTTTTCAAATGTATAAAATTATACGTTTAATATTATAATTTAAAAATTGCGCGTGAGCTTCGAGTTTAAAATATATATTTTTTATTCACGAATGTTTAAAATACTTTAATTCACGATTATGATAATTTCATGCGTGTTATTTGCAATTGTCGATATACTTCGTTATTATTGGCAGATGGGAAGTTAGGAATTGCATAGAAAAAATAATTATTGCTTCAGTATATTATCTACGAACAGTAAGTTGCATGTTTTTTGATTTTTAAATGTATTTTTTAAACATATACAAGAAATAAATCAAAATTAATAGAGATTATTAAATTTAAAATTATTATTTTATTTTTATAATATTTCAAAATATAATATAAAAGTTACAGGCAAAAATTGTGTATTAAATTTTTATTACTTTGTAAAAAGAAATTATTATATGCATGAATTAAAATTAAAAATCTAAAAATCATTAAATTATTGATCGTTATAAGTTCACTTGTTGCTACTCTTTGAATTTTTCGCGTAAAATATTTTCACACAAGTATAAATAGAGAATTATTAAATAATATAAAATAGTAAATCTAATTTTATTCTATAAAAATATATATCAATTGTTATATTTACTATTTGCAATATTGCAACAAATTATTATACTTTAGTATTATAATAAATTATTAAATACATACATTAAGGGTACAAGTTAAAAATTTTTTAGTGTATTGGTCATTAAAATGGTTCATTATTGCTATGTTATAAAAATTCTTTGAATGTAAATATAATTGAAACATTTTAACACGGTAATAATTCGAAAATTAATATCATAAAACAATAAATCCAATTTTAATGTATAAAAATATATATCAATTGTAATATTTATTATCATAATAAATTGTTAAATATATAAATTAATAATATAAATCAAAAAAATGATAAATTTTTTATTTATTATATTCGAAAAATCAATTTTAAAATATCGGTAAGAAACGTATATATTCGTGGAACTTCGTTTCCCCGACCTTTTATAAATACAAAACAAGCGGGGAGAAAGAGCTTAGTCTCCAACGAACCTTCGTTGCGAATAGATCGTAACTAAAATATTTTAAGTAAATTCTATCAATTTTAATGTTTTTTATATTTTTTAATAATTTATTTTTAAAATATAAATAATTAACATTTATTTTTATAATTTATTTTTAAAATATAAATAATTAACATTCAATACTGTTATTATATTGAGTATTTATTCATTTTATTTTTTTATTAATATTTATTTATTTTTTTAATATTTTTTATTTTTTTACTGATTTATTTTTATTTTTTTATTTCATTATATATTTATTTTCCCATTTATTAATATTTCTAATTTTTAACTTTTTTATTAATTTTTTTTTAATTTTTTAGATTTAGTTAATTTTTTTCAATTTTTCGTTCGTTTATTAAATTTTTTAAATTTTGGCATTGCTTTTTTCAAACCATATTTGATTAAAATTATTATATTAAATTGATCATATTATTGTGCTATTTTCGAAAGATTTTTTTTTTTTCGAAAAAAGATACTAAGAACTATAAATAAATTCTTTTTTTGTGTTTCAATTTTCTGCGTTTAAATGGAATTTTCGATAAAATAACACAACGCTTCTATTAATATCTTTTAATAATTTTATTCGTTATATTTTATAACTTTGAATTTCTTCAAGTATAATTATTTGAAATCAGATGATCATTAGACTATGGGATTTTTATACAATCCAACGACAACAAATTAACGTATTCTTCAATATTGTAATATTTCACTTTATGAAGAATATGTTGCATAAAAATTCGCAGTCTATTAATTATTCTTTATAAATGAAATATTTTTTTTTTATAATTTTTGAACATTTTGAAATTATTTCATTCAATATTTTGCAAATTTTTACGATATATTAATATAGCGTGAAAAAATATTCAATGAATAAAATAATCTTCAGAATCTTCGATAACAGATTTCTCGACCATTTTATTTAGAATTGAATGATTCAACAATGATGCAATAACACTAGATAAAACGTACTCTTTTACATACAAAAAACGTATACGTCTTACATGCATAGCTGAGTTTCTATGTACACATATATTACAAATTTTTTTTGATTTTTCATATTAAAAGCTTTTTATTTAAAAAAATTGAAGGATTCATTACAAAAACGATTTTTGTTTAATTATAAATCTACCTTAAATAATTGATTAATGTTTTTTTAAATATATTTCTCTCTCTCTCTCTCTCTCTCTTTTTTTAGAAAAATTGTCAAGGGTAGTTTTTATATGAATCCTTCAATTAATTTTTTCAGCATTTATTGTAACGATGTGTATCGATAAATATAACAATTAAATTCCTATATATTGCATGTAAATAGTACTTACTCAGCCTTAAGGTTTTTTTCTAGTCTTGAAATGCGACGTTTCGTGTTTCATTCAAAGAAAATATACTTGATGTTAGATACTCGAAGCGTACACAGTCTAGAAATAGGATTTAGCATTGAAAATAATTTGTAAAAACTTTATAAAAATAGTCTCTTACTCAACGCTGATGCTTTTCTTGCATATATTTATATTTCTTTAAGGCAAGCTTATTTATTTAACGTGGAAAATTGAACAGCAATTTCGAGCATTTTCAAGTATTAATAAAACGATACCGTTACATATCGTATAATTATAAATTATTAATATAAAAAATATTTTTGAGTAACATTACTCAAATAATATTTCAGTATATAACATAGCTTTGCGGATGATTGATTGATTAAACAACAATTTAATGATTTACGAATAATAATTACGTATCTCGAAGGATTCAATTTAACAATTTGATTATTTTGAAAGTTCATAATGATTCGTTGTTTCACGAATTTTATTGCATAACGTAACGAAAATAATTTCAGTCGCTTTTTTCACGAATGATAACGATCATTTTCGTTCAGCCTTAGTACTGAGTTTCGATAAGAATTCTGTCGCTTGATTGTCCCCCTTTCTGTGTTCTAACGCTTGGATTATGTCTGTACCTGTGCATAAAATGAAAAAAAAAAAAAATTAAATAATATAGAAATATAAGAATATATAAGAAATATAAAACATACTTTTTCTTGTAGGACGCGAAAGTTTCAAGTGAATTTGTTCGAGAGACTCGATCCCTCGATCTGGTCCCGTTTCAGGAATTTCACTGAACGGAAGGAATGCTTCCGCCATGAATTTCGATCTTAAAAAGTCCTTGTCTTTCAGTTCGAATGCTACGATCGCGTTTTCCGTAGCTCTTTGTTCGCTGGTCAGAGGACTGGAAATAATATAAAATTAGATATAATTATAGATGTATTAATTTTCTAATTCTATTTTATTTTTTATTCTATTTTATTTTCTTTTATACTTCGAATAGACTTTCATCTATGTTGTAGATAATCGATGAAAGATTATCAACTCACATGTTGAAAATTTCATCGTACAGCGGATACAAATTCTCCTTTTGCACATGAGTTTTAGGTAATTTCACGTCGGTGAATTTTTCCTCCGGAAGAAGTCTCACTTTCACGTACGAATCGCAACTACCTGGAAAAATAGAAGGAAAAATATTTCCATTGCGATCTCTTCGAGTACCAACAACATCCCAATGCGGATTCATGCACGATGAAGGTGATTATCTTTTTGATTTTTTATCTACGAGGTTCCACATTTTTCAATGTAACGTTCCACGTAATGCATAACAATTGCATTAAAAAATCATATTTTTTTTTTTACAACAATATTGAATTCATATGAAGATTCAAAAGGGATCGTTACCTTATTTTAGCCAAAATATTTTAAGGCTACAATAAAAAGCGAAAAATCATCGAAAAATTTTATCGAATGTTTTCCTCATATTTTTAATTTTATCAAGTATTAAAAGAATATCATTCACAAAAGAAGAGAAATTATTTAACTTCGAAGAAATCAATATTATTTCTTTTGAAAGGATTGAAAATCAATTTTCATGTTATAATTTGGAACCTCATAGAGATTTTGCATCATTCCATCATAAGTGAGGAGAATTGTTTGACGTTCTAAGATATTCTTACATTCTCTAACTACGAATAATACACAATAACAAGAAAAAAAAAATAATTTGACAATTTGGTCGGCCAAATTCGCATGCAAATTTGATAGTTTTAATTGTCACGAGGGCAAGCAACCGGATGAGACATGTTCTAATTGAAAGAGTGATGAGGAAGAGCGTCTTTTTTCTTTTTTTTTTTTTTTTTTTGGTTTTACATCCACATTTACATACTTGTCTTCCATTCTTTCTGTCTTTGTTTAGATTTTGTATGAAGCTTGCGTTTCAGAGTAGACACCTTGCCTACCAAATCGCCTACAAAATCGAAATAAAAATATCATTCTTCTTATCGCGGGACCAACCCCTCATTCCCTTCGACAAGCAAACGAAACAACGTTAACAGGCTACGAAATGAAACTTTTGCTTTACTTGTGCTTTAATTGGCGTTGTGTGCAATTTCGATTCTCTTTCATCAATCATTAAACAAAATACATCCGAGTGATTCTCATGAACAAAATAATGCGATTATTTGTTACATCAACTCGATGATACGAAACGAAAAATTTTCTAATCATTTCGTTAGAAAAATAATTGCACGTCCTTCGTATCATGTGAACCACTCGCGACAAAAATCGAAATAAAGAGAAAGAAACTAGTCTAATCACGTAAAATTTCATTTCTAGCAATGACATTCCTCAAAAAAATAAGTTACAATTTCGTACCCAAATATTTATCCATAAAAATTTCCACCATTTTCTTACCATTACTATCGACAGGTCGCAGTTTCCTCGCGTTCAAGATTTGGATATTCAACGAGTTATCGACGAATTGCGCCTTCACGGTGATCTGCCCGTATTCGGATTCTTCCAAGTCGTTTTGCTCTTTTATTCGCTCTTGGTGGTAACGATGTATC